TAGGCTCCGCCCCTCCCGCTAGGCCCCGCCCGACCGCGACGGTGGCGTCGCCAGCCCTAACTCGCGCCCCGACGGAGCCCCGCCCCTCCCCGCTAGTCCCGCCCAGACGCCGCCGGCCAGTCGAAGCCACGCGCCTGAATCGAAACCCGACTCCGGGGCCCTGCATCCCACCCTTGCGCCGCGCCCCTCCTCTCCCCGCCCCCAGCACAGCCTGCCCAATACCAGGCGCGGCTCCGGGTCCCGCCGCTCCGGGTCCCGCCTCTCCGGGTCCCGCGCCCTTCCTCCTCGCCCGCCCCCCGGCCCCGCCCCGCCGGTGTCCCGCGGGGAATCCCTGTGGTTTACGCAGTCTGGCGTCGCTGAGTCAGCCGCGCAGCTCCGCCCTGGGCCACCGCGCCCTACCTCCGGGATACGGACAGTGAGCTGCAGAGGTGACATGATTTACTCAAGGTCACACTGGATGTCACGCCTGGATCGAAAGGCTGGTGGGCGTCCAGGAGCCCCCACCCAGGACTTAGTCAAGGCGGATAGGGCCGGCCTGAACTGTGACGCTCCCCTAATGCAGGGGCAGGTTGGAACTCAGCAGTGTGAGACCTGGGTCGGACAGCCCTGTCGGCTCCCTCATCTGTAAAGTGGACCCTGGCCTGGCATTGTGGCCTTAACTAGGGAAGTCAGTTAAGTGCCTGAGCCTCACTTTCCCGGACTATGGAATGGGTGACCTCGGGAGAGTCTCCCACCTTCCTCCTGCTTCCCGTGTGTCATGGTCTTGGCCTTTCCAGCTCTGGTGCCCAGCACGGGAAGCCCCCAGACGCACAGGACGCGAATGGGCCGGGTGTCAGCTAAGAAATGGACACCTGGGTTGAGGGAGGAGCGCGGTGCCTGCAGCCCGCACTGGCGGTCGGTTTCCGGTTTACCGGTGCCCCCTGTGTCCTCATTAGCATAGTGATTCGAGACGTCGTTGCCAGCCTGGTTTGTGAGTTCCCTTCTGGGTCCGTATGCCTCTGTGCCTCAGTTCTCCCATCTGCTACCACCGCTCATCTGGTGAATAAATGTTACTAAGAGGAGACACCAAGAGTAAGAGGGATCTGGCCAAACCACCTGCCGGGGTTTCAGTGTCCCCACAAAAACTTAATGTTGAAATTTAATCTTCAACTTAATGTTGAAATTTAATCTTCGTTGTGAGATATTTTTAAGTGTGACAAGGTTAAGAGGTGATTAGGATTCTGCCCTTACAAATGGATTCATCTGTTCTGGATTAGAGGATTAATGGGTTATCGAAGGAGTGGCTTTGTTATAAAAGTGAGCTTGCTCTCTCTCACCTGCCCTACGCCTCTTCCCTGCTGTAACCCAACAAGAAAGTCTTCCAGATATTGAGGAGATGCTGGAGCCAAGTTCCACATTCATGAGCTAAATACACCTCTGTTCTTATTATACGCCCAGTATAATACGCCTAGTATTCAGTTAGAGCAACAGAAAACGGGTTGAGACATTGGGCTAACAGGATTCTTGGTGAGTGCGGGCCAGGGCAACCAGGTTTCTATCACCTGGGATGTGGGTGAGTGGGAAGCCCTTCAGATGTCAAGGGGAGTCATATATGGAGGGTGGTGGGTTCTTGCTAAACTGACTGAGCAACACTCTTTGTTCAATCCGGATATTTAAGAAGGGAGTTTACAGATGGGCCTTGGAGAAGGAGCAGGAGCCTAGGTAAGTTTGGGGAGGTCACATATGTCCTGGTCTTACACCCTCACCCGTTTGTCACCGTGGCATGCTTTATCAGATCAAAAAGTAACCAGAATTATAAAGTTGAATAGGGAAACGCCTTCCCTGGCAAGTGCCTTGCACTGGGCGGGAGGGGCACGTCCCTGATTGTCACCAGTTCAGGGCCCTCCTTACTCCAGGATCTGCTTGCCTGCTCCTTCCCCAGTCGGCTCTCCCTTCCAAGCCTGTCCCACTCCCCTTCTTCACTGCTTACCTGCAGGGTGTCAGCCACCTCCCTTACTGGCTCTGTGCCAGTCTCCACATGGTGTCCACAGGGGCTGTGACCCTGAGCTCACGGCTTTCCCAATCCTCCGGAAGCACCTCTGGATTTCCGAACTTTTGTGTACGCTGTGCCCTCTACCGAGAATTCTCTTCCTAATTCCCTGCCTGACGTCCTCCTTCCCTCAGGCTCTGCCCCAGTGTCACTCTTGTGTGCCTGCTGGTCCATGTCATTTCTCCCTGTGGCCCCGAGTCTCCATTCCTCAGAGAATTACCACAGCCTGACTATTGTCTGTGCTGCAGCACCTACTCCGCAGAAGCCAGCACGTAGCAGGCGCTTAATGAAAGCAATGAATAACTCTGTTGACAAGGGCAGGCACGGACACTGTAAGACAAGGTGATGAGGCCAGGGTGAACCTCCTGAGAGGCGCAGGCTAGACAGGATATTCCCAGGACAGGGGCAGAGTAGTGGGGACAGGAAGCCTCTGTGGCTAGAGCTGACCATATCACGCAACAAGGTGATAGCGAGGGTCTAGAACACTGACAAGGAGCAACGACATCTTCCTCATTCTCTTGTGGCCAGGGGGCATCATTTATCCACTCATTCCTTCAATAATTCATTCAGTGAATGTCTACTAATGTGCCCCTAACCCAGAAACAGATCACAGGGAGAGCAGGAGCCCTGACCCCAGCTTCGTCCATGAGTGAAGGACACAAACACACTGCTGTGTGGAGTCGTGGTAAGTTCTCTGAAGGGGGCCAGGCTGAGCAAGAGGCAGCGGGTATGTCGTGAGGCTACCAGTCTCCAGGGTGCCCCAGCAATCCTGACAGCCAAGGTGTCACCTATATTGATTGCTGCTTCCTCTTGCTTGCATTACCACTTGAGCTCTGCCTCCCATCAGATCACTGGTTGCCTTAGATTCTTTTTTTTTTTTTTTTTTTTTCTCTTTGGTTTTTTTCCGGTACCAGGAATTGAATTCACGACCTTGTGCTTGCCAGGCAGGCGCTGTGCCCCTGAGCTAAATCCCCAGCCCCCATGGTTGCCTTAGATTCTTGTAGGTGCACGAACCCTACCTCAAACTGCGCATGGGAGGGATTTAAACATATAACTCTAATCCTGAAACCATCCCCTGTCCATGCCTGTGGGAAAACTGTCTTCCACAGAACTAATCTCTGGTGCCAAAAAGGTTGGGGACTACTGCCCTGAGGGGGTACTGTGCTAAGTGAAATAAATCAGTTGAAAAAGGACAAATACTGAGGGATTCCCCTCACGTGAGGCCCCTAGCATAGTCAAATACATAGAAACAGAAAGTAGAACGGTGACTGCCGGAGGTCGAGAGGTTGGAGAACAGAGATTAGTGTTTGCCGGGGCCAGGGTTTCAGCTTGGGGAGATGGAAATGCTCTGGGGATTGATAATGGTGATGGCCGCCCAAGACTTCAGAGCTGTGTGGTAAGGGACTCTGGGGGGACTTGAGTGGAGGCTGCGCTTGAGAAGTCTGGAAGCATCCAGATCCTCTGGAGCTCAGGGCCTGCTCCGCCGATGGGAGCATGGTCTGGGCCCAGGCCTGGAGGAACTGCTGTCCCCACTTCTGTCTATACCGACTCTTGAAAGCCAGCTGCCACACTGGAAGGAGGCTCAGGCCGTGCAGTATTTCAGTGGAGAGCCCCAGCCAAGGTCCCAGGCAACAGTGGCCCTCAACTGCCAGACCTGGAAGCAATAACATCTCTGGAAGATGCCAACCGCTGCTGCCACACTGTGATCACATGTGAGAAACACAAGCAAGATCCACCCGGCTGAGGCCAGGAAATACACTGAAAGAACCAGGGTACACAAGGGTAGCATGGTGGCTGCTGCTGCTGTGGCTTTTGGGGTGATCCACGATATGAAAAAAGAAAAATGAAATGTAACCAAATTCTTGAATCAATGCACCAGACATAATACTTCCCCCCAACCACCGTCCCTGTATGGGGGATATTCTGCTGGATAATGACGTCTCCTCGGTGCGAGATTCGGTTTAACTGTGTAGCCCCCTGGTGTTTGAATGTCACCTTTGCAGTACGTGAGGCTGGTTTTTTTTGCCTCTGCTTTCATACCCACTGAAATCCCGGGTCTCACCAACACCCAAGTGAGACAGCTGAGTCAGGCCTCAAAGGACTTGAAGAAGCAAGAAGGAGGCTGACATGGTAGCCCTGGTGTTGCTCACGGCTATCTGGTTCCCCTGGAAAAGTGGCCCCCTGGTGACTTAGTGGCTGGATGGGGGTCACAGGTTCAGTCTGGTCAAGATGTCACAAGAAGTAACGTGACCTTCCTCCACACCAGAGCAGCCGTGCCGGGGGCAAGCCCTCTGCTGTGGGTGCTCTCATTGGAATAGAGGCTGCTCCACCCACCATGGGCTCTGTGGACTTGTGAGCAGGAGGTAAATTTGGTGATTTGAGCCCCTGAGAGTTGCAGGAGTGTTTGCTTCAACAGTATAACCTCAGTGATCCTGACAGGTAACAACAGATGTTACTGGGTTTTTTGAGCTGATCAGTGAAATGTGGATAGGAGCCATGTGGCCATCAGGTACTGTAGAGGGAAGAGCATGCTAAGGCCTTTGTGGGTAGCAACCTGAGCAGGGGCATCCAAGAAAATCATGGTGGTAAGCGGTCCCCCTCTTGTCCCAGTACTAGTGGAACTGGACATGTAGGGTTTTGCGAGGAGGTGAGGATAGCTTCCCCCTTGTCACGAGGCAAGGTCTCACAATTCCACAACTCTGTGGGAGGACTCCTCTCTCTGGCCTGTGGCAACTCTTGGCCATGGTGCAGACTTGGGGGACTGGCGTTCTGTTCTCCAGGCCAATAGCTCTGCCCTGGCAGGCCCATTATTTCTCCTCCTCCTGCCTCTCTGCCCACCGTGGCCTCTCTGTAGCCATGTGGACACTCATTCCTGTAACTCCCAGTTCTAAGGAGCTACAGCCCTTCACTCTAGTCCTCCACCTCAGCTCCAGTAGCTTGAGAACACACACTGGTCTGCCCTTGCAGCCCCAATCCTTCATGAGTCCTCTGGGTCCCATCTGTCCTGTGTGGTAGGGTCTACAGTCTCTGCCATCTTGGCTCCCGCCACGCCAAGAATGGGGGGAGGTATAGGGAGGGCTTGGTGGCAGCTGGAACCAGAGCCTTTTGTTGCACATGCCAGGCCCTGGTCAGCATTGCTGCAGTCCCAGATGGGGCTGAGTGGTTTCATGTCCTGCATCCAGATCTGCCTGGTAGCGGGGCCTGGTTGGCTGGGGCAGATGTCCCCCTGCTGGGGCTGTGTCTGCACTGCCACTCCCTGCATCCTGCTGTGTTCCCACTAGGGCCCCCAAGGAGGACAAGAAAAACCAAATTGCTGCTCTCAAGCCTACACTGGAAATCTACCAATGAAAAGAGCATCCCCAAACAGAGGGCACTGGGACCAAGGTGTCCACAAATGTGACATCAAAGTAACATCCAAGTGTGCCTGAGCTGGTGGCTAGTCACATACATCATGGGACATCTGTCAGACCCTATGCAGCCTCTATCAGGTTAGTATTCGTCAGTGACACAAAAACACAATGCATCACCTCAGAAGCAAGAGACAGTGTGGACGAGGGGAAGCCGCTCCTCTAGTTCCTCCCAATGGCCCCCTTGTGGCTGCTGGGCCTCAAGGCAGAGCAGGGAAAAGTCAACTTTTCTCAAAGGCTGGAGACAGGTCACACCCCAAATTGTGTGAGGCTGCAAGTATATTTTTAATTGACCCAGGACAAACATGGGGCTCAGAACTGTGAGAGGCTGGGGCCTGGAGCTGCTGAATGAGCCCTGAGCTCAACTTAAATAGAACCACGAGATGCAGAAGCAGAAGCAAAGACCAGATCTAAAACCAGGTGTGTGTGCACATAGCTTTGCTACAGGAACAACCCTTTGGGAATGGCAGTGGGTAGGGTAGGAGTCAGACCCCCCACTTTTTGGTGACACTGCAAACTGAACCTAGGACCTTTGCCCTGAGCTACATTCCCACCTGTCTCTTGTTAAAACATTTCAGATAGGGTCTTACTAATTTGCTACATTTCTCAGGCTGGGCTCAAACTTGTAATCCTCCTGCCTCAGCCTCTTGGGGTACTGGAATTACAGGCTTGCACTACCACACCTACTGGAGTCTCCTCTTATAATTGTTTGATGAAAAGCTGGCTTAGGGCCAGGGATATAGCTCAGAGGCACAAGCACCTGCCTGGCAAGTGCAAGGTCCTGAGTTCAATTCTCAGTACCAAAAAAAAAAAAAAAAAAAAGCTGACTTAGAGGTGACTGTAATGGTTTTAGTTGTTTTTTGAGATACCAGGTATGGATTCTAGGGCCTCATGATGATAGGCACATTCTCTACTACTGAGCCACACTCCAGCCCTGTGATTTTTTGTTTGGAGACATCTTGCTCTGTTGCCCTCACTGGTCTCAAACTTATGGCTCAAGCTGTTGTCCATCTCGGTCTCCTGAGTAGCTGAGACTATAGGTGCTCACTACTTCTTTGGTATTCCTTCTGCCTACCAGTGGGGGCCCATAGTCCCACCCCTTGATTTGATTATGGGGCCACCTGGACTTCTAATGAGTAGGACACAGAAGGCAGCTGAAAACTGAAACAGCCTCTACCTGGTGCTCATGTCAGACTGTTACTTTAGAAAGCAGGTGCCATGTTGGAAGGAAGCCCAGGTCACACAAGGCAGCCACAGGGCAAGGGTGGAAGGGTGGATGTTCCCACCAAGACTTCCTGAAGTCTCTGCTGACTGCCAGCAGCAACTCCAGATGTCAAGGGACCCAGCCTTCAATGTGACCCCATGGTAGACACCAGCAGATGGCACCTGCTACAGAAGAGATGAAGTGGGGATCACCCAGCAAGATGCTTGAGAAGCCCGCAGCATCAAGAGGTAATAACACACTATTATGGTTTTGTGCTCCTATGTTTGAGGTTGTGTAGGGATGGGCAGCCAGGACAGTGATTTTTACCGTTGTATCTTTCAATAGGAGAAAGAACTGCTGTATTTCACTCACTTGCACTTGCACAGATGCCAGATACAGAGCTCTGGGCAGGTCCCTGCTTCAAAACAGCATGTCCTCCCAGGGGGATACTGAGGGGGTCAGTTGAAGTTGCTGAAAGGAAATTTATTGCTCTTTCCTTATTCTACTGTGCAAAACTAGAGCTGCTGAAAAGTCTCCCAGTCTCTTTAGAGGAACCCTGGCTGGAGGGAGGCTGCCATGGCGCTTAACCTTAGCAGCTGGCTCAAGTGAGTCACTGCTGTGTAGTTCCCACAGCCTGGCTCTTTCTGGATGCAGTGCTCCCTGCAGGGCCCTCAGGCTTCCTCCATCTGGAGGCTGATTTCATGGGCCAGGGTAGACATGTGTGGAGCTGCAGGTGACTGGCTGGCAGTCACCCTGGCAGGTTTGCTGCAGGCCGAGTGGTCATCCTTTTGGTGGGCACGGAGGTAGGCAGGGTCTTTCCTGGCTTCGCTGTGTGGACAACCATGCGGGCACATGGGGCGCTGGAAGAGCCACAGGGACTGAGGGTGCCGGGCTCCGGAATCCAGGGGTCTTTGTCCATGCCAGGGGTTGTGCCAGCCAGCTCCCGGATGCCTTCATTGAGGTCTCTGTGGGTACAGGAGGCATGAGACATGTGGGGAAGATGGGGTGGGGTGCAGCCACCCAGGGACCCAGGCCCAGGCCTTCAGTGGACTCAGAACAGGTGCTGTCCCAAGGGTTGCTTCCCCCAACCCCAGGCCTGCAGACTACTGGCCTCAGTCCCTCACCCCATGACCAGGTCACCTTCTTAAGGGTTGAGAAGCAACTTTTGGGGCTTATTCAGAGTGTCCACAAATCACCACAACTCCACAGCTCAGGGATATCCCAGGCCGAGAAGGGACACTGGAGACGAGCTGTGTCTGGGCCAGGATCTTCCCTACCAGGTGTGTCCCCTTTGGTCACCTAGAGTTAGATCACTACCTCTTAGACCCTCAATACCCTATGTTTCCTCTATCACCAAAACAAGCTAATGAGTTTTCCAGGCAGATCAGAGCCTGGCTGCCCCATCTCTGGCCTCTGCTCCCAGGAGGCTACCTGGCTGGCTGCCCCCTCTCCTGGGTTCCCTTTGGAACTCTCCAAAGTTCCCTTTGGCGCCAAGGCAGACTTTCCCTAGCATCCCTTTTGGGCCTCATCTTTTCCCAGAAGCCTCCTGGATCACTGCTCCCATCCACAACTCACTCTTAGGGAAACTCCACAAAGTTGTAGGAATTAAGGAGTTAAGAAATGACTTGTGGTTGGGAGTGTTGGCACACACCTGTAATCCCAGCACTCAGCAGCTGAGGCAGGAGGATCACTGCGAAGTTCAAGACCAGCCTGGGCTACAAAGTGAGCTCATGGCCAGGCTGAACTGCATAGCGAGACCCTGTCTCAAAAAGACGAAAAAAAAAGAAATGATTTGTTGTTCAATGAATAAATAAATGAATCAAAAAGTCACTTAGTGGAGAAGAAAGGGAGCTTCATGGGTGAGGATGCTGACTTAGGAGCCGGACAGCCTGAGGTCACACCCAGCTTCCAGATAAGTAGCTGTGTGTGATTCTGCATCTGTTTCTTCACCCTGGGTCTTCATCTGTGCAATGGATGAAAGCAGGGCCTGCACATAAGGTGAAGGTGTGTGCAGTCTCTAGGAAGAGCTCAGAGTGGTGCCTGGTACATCGCTGATGCTGACAGGTGTTCATGAAATAAAAACCAGGGCACGTGAGAACCTCACCTTGCAAAGAAAATCACTACCAACCAGGTAGTGTGGGCCTGCTAGAGGTGCGACGGCCCCTGACACAGAGGACCCCTCCTGGGAACCAAAGGATAGGGGGTTAGGAGCTTGGCTTCCACTGAGCTGCTGGGCCCACGTGTAGGAGACTACAGCGGAGGGGCTCTACCCACGCACCTCCCATCGACTCTGGCTGAGCTCCACTTCCTACTTCCTGCCCTGTGAGCTACACCAACCGAGCTGATGCTCAGAGTGGCCTCAAGCAGCGATAGGGCAGACATTTGACCTCAGACCCCAGGACCCCCAGGCCTCACACCTCAGCCAGTGAAGCCATAGGTGCAATGAGATTCTGGGGGGCCCCAGTCCAGACCACCGTGGTAAGAGGAATGTATCCATAGGTGGCGAAGGCTCAAAGGCAGTTTCTGACACAATGTGCACCCAAGGCTCCAGGCAGGGAGACAAAAACGGAATCCTTCCCTGCAGGCATCAATAAGTGTAGTGCACTGCACGTGACCCTGGCACCACCCTGTGCCTCAGTTTCCTCCTCTGCATAAGGCTAAGAACGGTCATGAAGGTAATGGCTGGTACTCACTGAGCTCTTGCCTGGGCTTGAGCTTAGGAAACTACAACAGCACCAGCACATGGGCACTATTTGAGTCTCACCTGACAGGTAAGGAAACTGAGGCACAGAGAGGTCAGGAGGCCACCGTGCTGGGAGCAAATGTCTGCTGCTTTGGGAGCTTCTGAGGGGTCCACAGCAGCAGCAAGCCAAGTGCAGCAGGCACAGGATGAGCCTGGAGCACCTAGCGCAGAGCAGGAGTGCTCCCAGGGTGGCAGAGACATAGCAGAATGACACACGCAGCCTGGCAGGGCCCCTGCTGCAAGACAAGCAGGCCCCCAGACAGAGTGGTGAGGAAGGGGAGGGTGGAAGGGACCCCTAAGGATGGGAGGCAGGATAGGAGACCCAGGACATGGTTCTCTCCACTTTTGTATATTTGTGAAATTCTCCCAGAATTAAAGTTCTAGGAAAGAATATCTGTGAGTTCACAGTGATACCAAAGTCACAAAACAAAATGGAAAGAAAGGCCTGGGGGTGTAGCTCAGAGGTACAGTGCTGGCCTAGCATGTATGTGCAAGGTTCTGGGTTCCATCGCCAGCAAAAGAATACAAAAGAATAGAAAGCAAAAGAATACAAAAATCACCACAACAACAACAACAAAAAAAAAAAAATGAAAGAGGCTGGGCATGGTGGCGTAGGCCTGTAATTCCAGCACTCAGGAGGCTGAAGCAGGAAGATCACTGCAAGTTTGAGACCAGCCTGGGCTACAAAGTGAGCTCAAGGCCAGCCTGAACTACATAGTGAGACTCTGTCTCAAAAAGACAAACAAAAAGAAAGAAAGAAAGAAAGAAAGAAAGAAAGAAAGAAAGAAAGAAAGAAAGGCAAACAAACAAAAAGCTCATCAAGGAAAGTATAGCAGAATCACAACACAATTAACAAGTTACCCTGCTACAGGCACTGAGGATCACCCCCTTGCCCAGAGCCCCTTCTTCATGCCCCAGGGGTACAGGGATCTGGGAGACTTGTCTCAGACAAGAGACCCCATCTGTGTCTCCCACAGGGGAAACGCAGCTGTGTCCATGTCCTGCACACAGCACATGAACCAGAAACGCACACTTCAGCTTGGTCTTGTGGAAACACGACAGACCCTGTCGGGGGTCTCTGTATACCAGATGGGAGCCCTCAAAAGGCTAGGCCACAAGGCACAAAAGCCCATTCCAGTTTAAGGATCCAGGAGACCTGGTGGCTAAGTGCTGCATATGACCGTGGACCAAAGTGTGGCCATCTCTGACACATGTGCTCTTCCCTACAGGCCATGTGGCATCAGGGGCAGAAAAGGAGCATCCTTGTATTGGTTCAGGAAAAAAAAAATGTATGTGTGCACTGGGAGAAAAAGAGACAAAAAGTGGAGCGCCAGAGACTGACTAAGGAGGGAGGAGGACCCCCACCCTGGAACTGGGGAGGGGACCCTGTACTGGAAGGCCTTGATATCCCTATAGACTAGAATTTTTAGGACACCATGGTCAGGTCTGGATTTTAGAAGCATCACTGGCTTAGGGCTGGAGGGCCCAGGAGGCCAGGTGTACAGGCCCCTCCGCAAGTGGCAGGTGCTCCTGGACCATCCTATGATTCTAGTGTCTCTGCTCTTGTATCCCCAGCCCACCCAGGCACGGTGACCCTGGCGACCTACATAGTGAAGCTGTGGTTGTCATGTGCCTGGCTGGGCTGGCCTCCAGGCTTGCCACCGCCGCCACTGCTGCTGTTGTTGTAGTTCCCTTTGAGGCCCAGGTACGCGGCCTGCACTGTCTCCAGATCCTCACCTCTCAGCTGGTACCACATCTGGGCTGTCCTGAAGGAGAGAGTTTGGGAGGAAGGACACTAAGCAGGGACCCAAATCCCGGATGGTGGCACAGGTGCAGAAATGGGATCCACACAAAGCTAGGGCAGGCTCTTGGTGTGGGAAGCTTGACAAACCACTGCAAGAGCCAAATGGCAGGTATTTTAGCCACTGGCCACAACAAAACTCTATCATCCGAAAGCAGTAGGCAATGAGCGTGGCTGTGGTCCAATAACAGCTACTTACCAAGCCAGGCAGTGGAAAGTTCTAGAGACAATGCTGGTGGCTATACAATGGGCCAGGGTGATTAGTGCCTTGAGCTAAACACTTAAAGATGGTGAAAATGGTGAATTTTATGTTGTGCAGATTTTACAATAAAAAAAAAAGGACAAGAGTAAGCTACTGTAGGGAGAGAACCTGGATGGGCCAACTTCACCTATGGGTTCACTCAAGGTTGGGGTGTCGTAGCAGCTCCGAATACCACTAACATGGCAGGGTACAAACCACGTGTGCACAGGCTGAAGAGTAAGACAAGCGGGGCATGACGGCACATGCTTGTAATCCCAGCACTTGGGAGTCTGAGGCACAAGGATCACAAGTCTGAATCCCACCTGGGCAACTTAGTGAGACCCTGTCTCAAAATAAAAACTTAAACAAAAGGTTGAGGATGGAGCTCAGTGGAAAGGTCCTGGGTTCAATCCCCAGTACTTAAAAAAAAAAACACTCAGACAGCTCCCTGCGTGCCAACAACCTAAGGACCTCAGAGGCCCAGGTGCTCCCACAGCTGCTCCCACAGCTGCTATGCTCCATGCCCGCCTCTCTGAGGGCTGGGCCAGCTGCACACGAGGACCCCCTTACCAACCAGGGCAGCTTACAGGGCCCCTGGGCCCTGGCCCAGAGTGTCAGTGGCAGGTGTGGGTGGCCCCGTTGGGAGGACCCTGAAGCCACCAGGCCACCGTACCTGCTGGAGCGCCGCTGCTCACTTCTCTTCACACACTTGAGGAGGCAGCAGGTGAGGAAGGCCATCGACATGAGCAGGATGATGGCGCAGCTCACGATGGAGGCGATCACTGCCACCTTGAAGCCAAAGGTCTCGTGGGGCGGCACGGCTGTGAGGGACACAATCCCCAGGTGTGGGTGTGGCTCTCTCGGGCCTCCCAGGCCCAGGGGATGACAGGGTGCGGGGACTGATGGAGCCTGGCTGCACTCATGGGCTCTGTGCTGGGGGAGGTAGGAGGTACTGGTGGGGAGGCAATGGTCTGCACAAGCTGTGTTTGAGAAGTGGGCTTTCAGGAAAACTTTCGCCAAGAGTAGGGCATCTGGACAAGGTTTTAAAGAGTCCATAGGAGTTTAGAATAGCAAATTGGAGAAGTTCTAACAGAGAGCTTAGATCCTACCTAATGTAGCCCTGACTAGAACACAGTAGCCACTCCCTGGGGCCCTGAGGTTGAGGTTACATCCAACAGAGCCTCCGCAGGACCTGGGTGGTGGAGTGTGCTTGAAGCTGGCTGCTCTTCCCAAGGGGGAACACACCATCTTGGCTAACCCTGTTGTTTTGGGTTTTCTGCATCTTGGAATACAATCCTAACAGATATCCTCATTCTGAGAGATTCACCTGGCACATGAGTATGTTAAAGGCAGCATAGGAAGTGTATGCATGCCATCATCCTAGCACTCCGGGAGGCTGAGGCAGGAGAATCACGAGTTCAAGCCCAGCTTGGGTAACTTACCAAGACCCTGTATCAAAATAAAAAATAAAAAGGGCTAGGGATATAGTTCAGTGTAAAGGTCCTGGACTCAGTCCCCAGACCTAAATGGATGCATAAATGAATGAATGAATGAATGAATGAATGAATAAATAAGAAAAAAGCAACCAGAAAATGACATTTCCCCTGAGATCAGGACCTCCAGGACTGGGCACATCCTGCCTGCCTGTGTTCCTAGTACCTAGAATTCTTCACACATGGATTATCCTATCAGGGTTTGCCACAAGCACGTAGATATAAAAGAACAAATAAATGAACATAGTTTCCTCTTAAGACGACCAAGCACCAGCTCACACCACCTCTGTAGCTGTTGGCAGCCAGGGGCCACAGCAGGGCAGAGCAGGACCTGAGCCGGCAGCTGAGACTGGAATCCACTCTACAGAAATAGAGCTCTGAGGGCTGCTGGCCACTGTCTAGCAACAAGCCTGCTAGGAGCTGGGCCTGAACATTGGCCCAGCCTGTGACTGGTCAACCACCGCCATCCATGAGACCAACTGCGGCAGCTAGGGAGGGAAAGGCCTTACCCTTGCACACAGGGATCCCTGAAGACCAGTCAGCAATGATCCCCCTCCAGGCACAGGTGAGCAGGCCAGACCCCACCATCTGGTGGCCGGAGGGGCAGTGGAACACGAGCACGGTCCCCACAGCAGTGCCATCGCCACGGAGGACTTGGAGGGTGCCTCGAGGGGGCGGCTGCAGTTGAGTGCAGGTGCCTGGGGACAGAGACGGGGTAAGTTGTGAGGGAAGCACTTAGGTAGGTGGCGCAGGGGGGCACTGGCACCACTGGGGGCTGCTGCCCATGGGGGATGCTCTGGGCAAGGTCACTTCTCATCTAGACGCTGGGACAAAGCAGAGATGGACCCTACATTAAATAAAAATGCAGCTGTGCTGAGGATTATGGTATAAAAGCAGAAATAAGTGTCAGAAAACTAAATATAGGCAAGTATGCAATTATTACCCAAGCAGAGCTCCAAAGGCAAAAAAAAAAAATTTTTTTTAAAGAAGGAGCAATTAATAGATTTGATGGCATAAAAAGCATAAGGCAGGTGCTTTTGTTCCTCCCTAATTACTGAAAAACAAACATCAACTCAGAAGGAAAAAAATTAGGAAAAGATACATGGAAAACAGAACACAGATTCAATACGCTTAATGTATAGAGACTGATAAGAGTGGAACAATTTTTTCAAATGAACTAATGTGTGAACAAGCAACTCACAAGAGTCACCAACGTCCAACAGACATGAAAACATGCTCTCCCACATAGAAGTCAAAGAAACTTGAATTCAAATGAGAGCGGATCTTTCCCTCATCACTGTGACAAAGGGTAAAAGAAGAAAGAGGGCTGGGGTATAGCTCAGCAGTGGAACACTTGCTAGCATGCACAGGGCCTGGGTCCCAGCCCCAGCACTGCAAACAAACCAACAAATAAAAAAACAAGAACAGGCAAGTGAGCAAGGGTGGAGAAGTGAGTACCCCCAACCTTTCGGGACGGAGTCGCCAATACAGGAAGAACTGCATGCTGGACATGCCCAGAGGAACTCAGGAAGTTCCGCAGGGCCATGGAGAGTGGCAAAAAGTTAAACTACCCTCATCTCTGGCAGTAGGCAGTGATTTATTAATCAGGGGACAAACAGCAAATGACAACTAAATGCTACAAAGTGGTTACAATGATGTCATCCTTAAGGACAGAGAAAGTCTGGTGATGAGCACCTCAAGTCCCAGGTACTCAGAGGCTGAAGCAGGAGAATCACTGGAGCCCAGCTGGAAAAACACAATCAGATCCCTTTTAGAAACAAGGAAAAACAATATGAGGATACGCTCCACATTCAGCGGCAATCAGAAGCTTTATAAAATAGTAACCAGTGACAAGAGTTGGCACTTATAAGGGGCTCGGTGTGCTGGACATGCTTTACCTGCACTAACTCATCAATCAGAACAGAAGGCTTCCCAGGGAGAGAGAGCCATCCTCGTCCCCATTTGATGAATGAGCGAACTGCAGGTGGAGGAGTGAGGTCACACAGCTCTAAGTTGCACGACAGGGAAGAAGAATACAGTTTAACTCCACACGCACGCACACTGAGACACACGGGCACGTGCCCTGTTGCTGGGCTTCTCCTGCTCAGCACCATGCACCTCAGAACCATCACTTCATGCCAGGACCAGCCGCTGCTTGCTTGCACAGCACAGAGGCAGTGCAGGTGGGCCTCAGGTTTTACTGTGCACTGCAGATAGCACAGGAGTTTCTCCGTGTGCAAGAGTGCTCAGTGAAGCTGCTCAGGATGTTCTCGCACAGGGCTCCTGGTGCCAAAGTGCAAAGGGCTCTTCCTTCTGGTTTTCTGGTATGAGTTTGGAGCACTGACTGAGTAAGGCTGGAATATCCAGACCCCCAGGAAGACTGACTGCTATTGAGGACCCCGAGTGTCTCGCTGCCTGCTTGCCTCGGTCTACAGACACCTCTACAGGGAGGGGTGGGCCAGGCCATGCAGAAGCCCATGGCCGTTATTCCAGCTGATCTGCTGTGATCTTTCCCTGTCCTCTGTTCAGTGTCCCTTGGACTCCTGAGCCTGCTGTGACCCACCCAAGCTCCTGCGTACCCAGCCTCATCATGTGCCCCCCAGTCTTTATTTTTTATCAGTGGCTTCTCCCTCCTTCAGCTGCTTACGCTGCAAACCCTAATGCCTACCTGGGCGCCTTTTCTCAGTCCACAACTAATTAACCTGCCATCTGCGCTCTGATTTCAGAATATCTACCCAAGTCATCTGGAGTAGGCTGAACAGTGTCCCCCAAATTTATTCATGTCTACCTGGCAGAGGCACGTGGGCTGGCTATGTGCCCAGGCATGGTCTCCATCTGTGGGGACACATGTCTTTTTCCACATCTGAATGCATCAGCATGTCTGGAGGGGGAACTCAGGCTCATAAGCCAAGCTGTCCCTTGCCTAAGTCATGCCCTTCTTGGAGCCAAGGTATTCATGGGTCACCAGCTGAGCCAGCCCAGGCCTGCAATATGCTGCCTAGAAAGTGGTAGCAGAGGCTACCTAAGCCTCTTTCCATGGCAGTGACAGTGTAGGGTGACACTTGGTTCTGGGGGGTTGGATCACACTGACCTACTTCCCAGCAGCGTCCAGAGGCCCCCTTGCCCAGAGCCTATGCCCCAACTGAAACGTGGGCAGCTTAAGAAGCTGAGAGCCAAGGGAGAGCACATACATACAGCCTGGGGCAGCCCTCAGCGGGGGCTGGAGCGGGCCCCTGTATGGCAAGGTCATGCTGCTTCCAGATCAGCAAAAACATCAGGTGCCTACTGGGTGCTATACCGTGTAACAGCCCCAGAGTCCCTCCTTACACATGGGGAAACAGGCAGAGCAAGGCTGAATGACATCCCTGGGTCACTGGGCAAGAAAGTGGTAGGGAGAGAATCAGGACCCAGCACACTTAGTGAGGAGCCCCCATCCATGGCCAAACCCAGGAGGAGAAACTGGCCCGTCCCAGCTCGTCCTGGGCAGCCTCAATGCCAGCTCCCCTACCTGACCATGGCTGCCCACCAGAGACTCCTTCTCCCCACCCAAAAGATGCAGGTGGAGACAAGACTGCCATAGAAAATTACACTTCCCAGCATGCCCTGCAGCTGTGAGCAGCCATGTGACTGACCTGGCCAATGGGTTGGAGCATGGGTGTCCATGGCCTCTTCTGGGATGGGGAGTTGGGAGATATGTGAAGAGGATGACCAATCTCTCAGACCCTAACAAGATGGAAATAAACTCCAGCTAGGGTTCATCCACCATTTTTGTAGATTTCTTTTGTAAGGAGACTGACTCAAACCTGATGCAATGCTTGAGGCCCATTTTGGCCCACTGCCCTGTTTAGGGCTTGAGACCATCCAGGTCTCTAAAGTGAGAGTAACAATAAACCTGGAGTAATGCCCATCCCATACGCCGTGCAGGGCCCAGGCCCCAATGCAGAGTGCTTGGTTAGCTGCGGAAACAAGAACACAGATTCCAGCCTGTGAGGTTCTGAGTGCCCTATGGCCACAAAGGTAGGGCTCAGGAAAGAAATTTGCACTTCACTACAGCCTGGTGCAAGGACACCTGGTTCTGGTAAAACACCAAGGCACCTGGCACAAGGGTAGGAAGGTGGGGATCTCTGGAAATAAGAAATGCCACCCCATTTGCACCCCCAGACTCCAAGGCTCAAGGACACTGAGGCTACGCAGCCAGTCAGTAGAGAGCCCCATCTTGCCTGCCCCTTCAGCATCCGGGGAAGGCCAGCCTCAGATCCAGCCAGCACCAACCTGAGAGTTCCTTGTTCATTATCAGCATTACTAGCAACATAGCAGCACATGCCTGCATGCAATACTCTGTTTAAAAAGCACCTCACCTTCTGTCTCATACAGCACTCAAAACAATCCCAAGGACAGCAAGGAGGAAACCACAATTATTACCAACTAGGTTCAGAGCGGCAGGCTGGTCTGCCTGACACTCACTGATAGAGGCTGGAGATGGTATGAGACCCAGGGTTTATGACAGCTAGCTTAAATGCAGAACAAGAAGGGGGAAGTCAATTTGTTACATGTAAGAGGGTTCGTATGTTTTCTAGACAAACAATAAGACAGTGACAAAAAAAATGACTGAAGAAGAAGTGGGGAACGGGAGAGGGAGGAGGAGGAAAAGAATAGGGGAAAGAAGAAAATGGCTCAAGAAACAAAAAGCAGGTCAATTAGGTAAGCAAAGGAAATGAAAAGAAACCAGGCCAAGATCTCCATTAGCTGACATGATTTTAAATATAGAAAATCCCCAGAAATCCCCTGAAAACTAATGGAACTAACAAGTTGAGCAACATTGTCAGATACAAGGTCAACATCCAAAGATCAGTGGTGTCTCTATATAGTAGCAATAAGCAAACTGAAAATTAAGAAAACAATTCCATTTACAATAGCATCAAAACAAATAAATTGCAAAGGAATAAATTCAACACAAGGAGTTTAAAACTCAAACTCTGAAAATTATAAAACATTGTTGAAATAAATGAAAGACCTAAATAAATGGAAAAACATCCATGCTGATGGATCAGAAGACTTAATACTATTTAAAATGGGAATTCAGTGGTACTTTCATTCATAAATTTAATTCTTTCCACAATTCTGGTCCAAACCAAATTAGTTGTGAACTGAATCAAATTTCCCCATAGGGCCAACATTGAACCTAAACATTGGATTTGACTGATGAACAATTCTGTTTCTGGCCAGAATTGTGAAAAGAATTAAGTTCATGAACCAAGATACCACTATATTCTCCAAACTGATCTATGGATTCAACAAAATCCCCTTCAGAATCCTTTTCCTTTTTGTGGAAATTGACTAGTTAATCTTAAAATTCACATGGAAAAGTAAAAGACTTTGAAATCACCAAAACAATCTTGAAAGAGAACAAGGTGGAGAATTTACTTCCCAATTTCAAAACTTACTGCAAAGCTACAGTAATTAAAACAGTGTGGTACTGGCATAAGAACAGACAGAGCAATCAAACAGAAGTGAGTCCAGAAATAAACACAGTCAGAGTAAGGTACCAGGACAAATCCATGGGAATAGTTTTGAATTGGTGCTTGGACAACAGGAAATGATGTTGGATCCCCTACCTCATCCTATATACTAAAAATTACTTAAAATGAATCAAAGACCTACATGTAAAATCTAAAACTACAAAACTCTTAGAAACATA